TAGCAAGATGGTCCTTGGGTAAACTACAGTTCTCTCCTGAATTTCCAGGTCCTGTGGTTCAGCAGAACTCTGATGCTGTAAGGGACTGAATGATGACCTATTATGAAGCTTGCTCCTCCTTAGCCTTCTAGGAGCCTGCTTCCTCCTTTTTTAAATAAACAACAACAACCATTTATTTACTTATTTTTTGTGCCTTGGGTGGGCTGTACTGGAGTGGAGTAAAGTTACATTTGTGCTCCTGCAGAAGTCAGAGGATACTGTGGGTATTATTCTTTTAAAAGCGGGTGGGTGTGTAGACGAACACAGGATAGACGAGACACGCGCAAAAGGAGGAGACAAGACACGCGGCTCCCACGTGGGTGCACTTTAATGGGGGGAAGTGGGACACACAAGGGTAGAAGGGCAAGAGAGAGCGAGACCTCATGGAAGCTCGCTTTTTAACGGGGAGCGCAAGGTTATCTGGGAGAAATGACCTGCACCTGTGCACGCCCGCGTGCGCAGGTATCCGTAATCCAGGAGGAGTCTGGGAGCTGTAGTTTTCAAGAGGAACAACAGTGGGAAACTGGTTCTTCCTTCACCTGGATCTTGATGGTCAAACTCAGGTTGTCAGGCTTGGCAGCAAGAAACCTTACCCACCGAGCCGCCTCGCCAGTCCTGTTTTTATCTTATGTGTTTGAGTATTTGTCTGCATGTATGTGTGTGCATCACATGTGTGTCTGTTGCTCATACACCAGTGTGGGTTGGATGCTGTGGAACGGAAGTCACGGTTGGTGACCAACATGCCAGTGCTGGGAACTGAACATCCAGTCCGTACTCTTGACCACTGAGCCGGCTCTCCAGCCTAGCCTGGCCCTTTATTTTATTTTGAGACAAAGTCAAAGTCTCATTAATTATGTAGCCTAGGATGCCCTCAAATTCATGGTAATCCACCTCAGTCTCAGGAGTGCTGAGACCACATGCGGTGAGCGACTATGTCCGCTTGTTTCCACAGCAACACCTCTTAGTGCAGTGGGGGTTGGGGGAGGGGGAGGGGGCAGCACACGTGTGAGTGTGAGGTCCGTGAGGTGGAGTGTGTGGTCTGTGAGGTGGCAGATTAGGAGGCTTCGAAATTCCACTCTCTCTAAGCTAGCAGACTCTAACCGTGCCTGCAGGCAATTATCTGAGGAGTCCTTGCAGAGGGACTACGGCTTCAGCCCCTGTGACGTGTTTCTTAGAAAGGAGTAGCTCTGCTGGGAGCAAGGTGAGGAGTCTGCAGGCCAGGCAATTGGGCCCCTACTCTGAACATGAGTATGTAGGGTTCCCCTACGCCATTTTTTAGCTTCACCTCTCCCTGTAAGGTTAGTATGGGTGGGGCACAGCAGAGAGTATGTTCCCTGAGCTCTGGCTCTCAGTGGATCACATTCTAGGGACCTGGGCTCTGGAATTCTTGGCCTGGTGGAGGGCCTGCCCAAGAAGGCCCCAGGAGCAGCTGTGGGAGGCCACTTTTGCCTGTAGATCCCAGATTCCTACCTCTGGAAATACCTGTCCCTGCAGCTTGGGGAGATCCTGGAATGGGCCTTTCATGGCCAGAGCTCATTTTTAGGGGTTTTGTGTCCACTCCCCGATTTGGCTCCCTTTCCTGTGAGAGCATTTCCAGGAGGGTGCTGAGGCCCAGGGACAGGCCAGTCAACAAAACAATCTTCTGAGCTCCTCCACGCATCCTTCACCCTAGGCAATCCCCTAAAATCTCAGGCAACTTGAAAGAGTTCATAACATGTGTAGAATGTAGGTTGGAATCCTTGAGTTCTTTGGTTGGTTTTGGGTTTTTCAAGACAGGGTTTCTGTGTGTAGCCCTGGCTGTCCTGGACTCTGTAGACCAGGCTGGCCTCGAACTCAGAAATCCACCTACTTTAGTCTCCTTAGTGCTGGGATTAAAGGGGTGCATCATTACCCAGCAGCCTTTTGTCTGTTATTTATTTATTTATTTTTTTTTTTTTAAGATTTTCCTATTTTTATGTTCTGGGTGTTTTGCCTGCAGGAATGCATGTGCACTGCCGGTAGAGGCCAGAAGAGGGTGCTAAATCCCTTGGACTTGGAGTTACAGATGGTTGTGAGCTCTTGAGTGGCTGCTGGGAATTCTGACTCTGATCCTCTGAGAGAGCTCCAAATGCTCTTAAGTGCTGAGCCATCATCTCTCAAGCCCCAAGTTTCTATCCCTGGTTTCACCGGGTATCCAGCCAGGGACACAGGATTTGGTCATGAAAGGTGATTCTCTTCTCTGGGAAGGGGCTGGTAGATTGGTACGCTGGTCAGGGCACCTACCACTGCACACTCTCCATTGCACACTCTCCACTGCACACACTGCACTGCACACTCTGCACTGCAACTCTCCACTGCACACTCTGCACTGCACACTCTCCATTGCACACTCTCCACTGCACACTCTGCACTGCACACTCTGCACTGCAACTCTGCACTGCACACTCTCCACTGCAACTCTGCACTGCACACTCTGCACTGCACACTCTGCACTGCAACTCTGCACTGCACACTCTCCACTGCACACTCTGCACTGCACACTCTGGAGCAGCTCTAGGGCTCTGAGAGCCCTTGTTACCATCCAGCCCCTGTGGCCTTCCCCTCTGTTTTTTTTCAACATAGGTCTCTCTCACTCTCTCTTTTTAAATTGTTTTTATTGAGCTATATATTATTCTCTGCTCCCCTCCCTGTCTCTCCCCTTGTCTTTTACCCTCTCCCATGATCCCCAGGCTCCTAATTTACTCAGGAGATCTTGTCTTTTTCTACTCCTTATGTAGATTAGATCCATGTATGTTTCTCTTAGGGTCCTCTTTGTTGTCTAGGTTCTCTAGGGTTGTGAGTTATAGGCTGGTTTTTCTTTGCTTTATGTCTAAAAGTCACTTATGAGTGAGTACATATTATATTTGTCTTTCTGGGTCTGGGTTACCTCACTCAATATGATGCTTTCTAGAACCGTCTATTTGCCCACAAATTTTAAGATGCCATTATTTTTTTTCCCACTGTGTAGTACTGTATCGTGTAAAGATACCACATTTTCTTTGTCCATTTAGGTTGTTTCCTGGTTCTGGCTATGACAAACAATGCTGCTATGAACATAGCTGACCACATGTCCTTGTGGTATGATTGAGCATCTTTCGGGTATATATCCAAAAGTGGTATCCGATTTGCAAACTGGCTAACACCCACACTACACAATTGCTTCTCACTGTCAGAGCTTCACCCCGCTTCTCACCCTGGACCACAGACCCACCTCCTACTCTGAAATGCTCCCGGTGCAATCAAAACACCTGAGATTCGTAGTCACTGCCCTGCTGTGGTCCTCTGCAGGAGCAGCTCTGGGTTCTGCCCTTACTGTCCCTGAACCTGCCTTGCTTGAGCCTTATCTCTCAGACCACACTTATCCCAGCTATTCCACAATCAACCACACCACCATGCCCTGCTAAGCCCAGGAGCTCTCTAACCCCTGGTCCCTCTAACCATTACACAGTCCCCAAGCTCTTCCGTGTGGCTGTCAAATCCGGGTGAGCACAGTCTCCCCAGTTTGCCTCCCGTGTTTTACCTCCTTTCCTTTCCCACGGTGTCCCCTCTTGCTCTGACTTCTGATTACTATTCCTAAAGCCCAACCCGCATTGCCCCAGGCTGGGTCAGACCCTTTAACTTTGGCCTGTCCTGTCCACTGGTGGCCTTCCCGAAGAACAGTAGCTGGTATTTATTAATGCTCCCTTACAGATCCAGCTACTACTCCTCACAACCATTCCAGGAGCCGGGTTCTATGACCACCATTGTTTCACATGGTAACAGACTAAGTTTACACTTCTTGGGGGCCTAGATCCCAGGTCTACAGTCTCCAGAAAGCTACCCCCTGACATAGCACTGAACTGTTCCTTGCGGCCTTCTGCAACACTGGATTGGTCTGGGGGAAGTGTTTCTGCCTTCTGCGTTGAAGGTTAAGCCAGGTGGCTTCTGATCCACTTCTCGAGCCCAGCAGTTAGTCATCTTGGTGGTACCGGGAGGTGCGGGCACCTGGCGCTGTTGCCCGGGGCTCTGGTCGCCTGTGGGGCTACTATGTATGCCCCCGGAGAGCAGGCGGGTCCCCAGGAGAGAAAGCCTCAGGCCGCCCAGCTGGGGTGGGCTGGGGGCCAGATGGACCGCTCTGCGGTGGGGAGGCTGGGGCCGCCAGGCAGCGTGTTGCCATGGGGACCGGGGGCGGCTGCCCCGCCCCTGTGGGCGGGGGAGCAGGTGGCTGGACGGTGTGCGGGCTGGGGGGAGGGGTCGGAAGGGGCCCGCGTGGGTCGTAGCTAGCTCCCCTGCGGCTCCTTCCTCCTCTAGCAGTGAGGAGTCTGGGCCTGGGACTGTAGCTGGGGCACTGGTTTCCAATGACCTCCGGTTCTCTAGGCAGCTCTTCACCTTCATCTTCCTCCCTATCCTCAGTTTCCCCAGCTGTAACTGGAGGAACTGGACTAGGAGATTCCTTGGACACAACCCTCCTCCCTCTTTTATTTTTGAGAAAGGGTCTCACCATGTAACTCTGGCTGGCCTGGAACTCACTATACAGGCCAGGCTGCCCTCAAACCCAGAGATCCTTCTGCCTCGGCTTTCCAAGTGCTGGGATTAACGGTGTACCACCACATACAGATTGAAGGCATTTTTAACTACACAGTGAGTTGTTGGTGGGTCAGGGCTACAGAAGACCCCATCTCAAACAAGCAAACAAACAAACAAACAAACAAGGGCAGGGCTATTTTTTGTCGCCCCGGGACAAGGTTTGGAGGACTGAAGCCTGGTGTAGGGTAATTCTAGTCTTTTGATAGATGGAGGCATTTCCTCAACAAATGATGCCTTCCACAAGACCCAGCACCAGGCAGTTTTCCTCCAGAAAGCTGGTAGACACTCAGCACCTAATGCCTCTTTTAGACATCACCGGCGAGGGGCCTGTCTAAGGTCACAAACTGGGGAGGAGTTGGAAGCAGGCTGAGATAGCTGGCCTCCAGGGCATCACACCCTCACCCTCTGGTGGAGCAGAAACTGCCAGGGAAGCTGCCCTGAGAAGATGCCCCTAAAGTTCCAACTACCAAGGGGGTAAGAAAATTGCTTCAGGGCACAGAACTGGGGCGAGGCTCAGGCTCCCACAGAGACGACAGTTGCTGTCCTGCTCCCCACCTCCCATCTCCATCAGTGATGTGACAGTTTTGGCTCTGTCAGCCTTGGAAGGTGGAATCTTCCCCATGAAGCCAGGGAGAGAGGAGAGCTGGGGCCCTACCCAGTCTGCGTCTTTCCTCAGGGTACCCCAGCTCCCCTTCCCACGCTTTCCACATCCCTGACTGCGGCTTGTGAGGGGGATCTGAGCATAGCAGCCTTTCTTTCTCCTAGGTACTGCAGGCGCTGGGGACCGGTGGGTGCTGGATCCTAGCTGATGATAAGAGGTGCCTTCTGACTGAGGTGGATGGAGGGCAAGGACTCAGGAGGAGGATCTGTGCCTTTAAGGTGCAGCCTGCTGCAAGAGCAGGGCATAGACGGACACACACACACACACTCACACACACCAGTCTCTTGTACAGCCATGCAGTCACACAGCCATACACACACTTCCAAGCTCTGTTTTCTCTCCCCATCCCCCTACACACTCCCCCCTTCTCTTTCCCTCTCTCTCTCCCTACACACACACACACACACACACACACACACACACACACACACACACACAGAGCGGCATTCGCAGAGGCAGCTCTCCCTCACCAGCTTTCCCCAAGGTCTAGTTTTCAACAACAGGAGCAAGGGGAGGAAGAACAGGGCAAAGAGCTCTGACCTAGAAATGGGCTTGGCCCCCTCCTATGCCTCTGGCCTAGGAAAGGGGGCTTGTTTTTCAATTTGGCAGGCCTGCCTGGGGTCAAGGCTGCAGGGGGGTAGAGGGCCTGCTCAGGAGACTGGGAGGGAGGACAGGTTTTGGGAGAGAGAGGGAGAGGTTGCTTGGCCATGGGCCCAGCCTGTTGGACACAGACCCAAGAATTGGAGGGGGCCTCCCCCACTCACGAAGAAAAAGAAATGAGGTTCACTTCCAGCACAAAGAAAACAGGCTTGGGGACAAAAGTGGTTATAATTGAGGCTTGGCCACAGAAGGATGGACCAGTGACCTTTTGACTCCTGAGGCCTGCCCTAGGGGGGCCTAGGTTCTTACAGATCATTCTATACATTTAGTCAAATCCTGGGCTAGAATTTGTTTTTCAGTCCTGGGGATCAGGTCCAGGACCCTTTGAATGCTAAGCAACCATTTCCTTTCTCTTATCACGCTGGGGATGGAAACCAGGGCCTTATGGGTACTAGACAAGTGTTCTACCGAGCTACCTCTCAAAACGCAGTACAGCATCTCAGCCCAGACTGCTTCAGTCACACTCCGCAGAATCAAAGACGGCATACTTCAGTGGGCGTCTAGGTGGCATCAGTTCTGATCCCTTTGGGAGCTGTTGCAAGTCCCCTCCTCCTGCAGGTAAGATGCCTAGGAAGAGCTGTCAGGACAGGGAAAACAGATCTTACACCAGACACCTGGTCCTTACTAAGGTCCTAATGTAGGTTGTGCTCTAGTTACGGCTACACAGCCTCCTGTCCCCTTGCCTGTGCTCCGTAAACTTCCCTTTCTAACCAGCCTAACGTGATGCCTACAGTCCAGAATCCCCAGCACATGAGAGCCTGTGGCTGGAGGAGCGTGGAGTTCTAGGATAGCCTGGGCTACACAGTGAGAGAGAGACCCTGTGACAGGATGGAATTCTTCTTTCTTGAAGATGCTGTGATCAACTTCTCCCTCTCTCTCTATCCTTTCAGTCCCTCCTTTTCATGTTTCTCTGACCACACTTGGTCTCATAGCTGAGGCGTGAGAAAGGGGGACTCCTATTCATGCTTCAAAGCATGGCACTTACCCTACCCAAGGCCCTCGGACAAGATGATCAGCAAGTATCTAGGCTTCCTGTGTTTTCTGTAGTGGGAACATTTGCATAACGTAATTAGCAAGTGTGCACCTGAGTTGCACATGTTGCTTTTCTCACTTGATATCACCTTTTTATTCACTAAGCCCTGTCTGCCTACGTGGTAGGGATTAGGCTAGCTGTGTGATACACAGAATGAGCTCAATGAAATCGGCTAGCTACTCCAGCTGGACATTAACCAGGAGCTGAAGCCCAGAATCTGGTATATGATCTCTGCTTTTGAGCCGGGCGATGGGGCCACATGCCTTTAATCCCAGCACTCGGGAGGCAGAGGCAGGAGGATCTCTGTGAATTCGAGGTTAGCCTGGTCTACAAGAGTTAGTTCGAGGACAGACCCCCCAAAGCTACAGAGAAAACCTGTCTCGAAAAACAAAAACAAACACACAAAGATCTCTGCTTTCTCTGGTTTCTGACGATTTTTTTGTTTGTTGTTCTTCGAGACAGGGTTTCTCTGTGTTACCTGGCTGTCCTGGAACTCACTCTGTAGACCAGGCTGTCCTCAGAGAACCTCCTGCCTCTGCCTCCCAAGTACTGGGATTAAAGACATGTGCCACCACTGCCCAGTTCATCTGACAACTCTTAATTAACACCTGATGTACAGAAAGAATGGACCTATGAAATCTCCGAGAAATCTGACTGATGCCACCACAGTGCCTGCTGGAGTGTGCCCTCTTCAATTCTGTAGGATTCTACTGAGCACTGTCTAGACCTGGACCCTGTGCTGGGTACCCAGATGAAACAGACACCATGTCCATCCCCGGGGACCATGGATACGAAAACACAAGTGATGACTTAGGTGCCTGGGGTTGGGATGGTAAGAAGACAAAGATCAGAAGCTTCAGCCCAAGTTGGGAGGGCAAGTGCCAGGAAGTGGGACAGGAACCTTGGGGAGGAAGTGGGAAGCAGCCAAGTAGCCTGGAAACGCGGATGGGTTTGAGCCCTGCAGAACTGGAGTGACGCAGGTGGGATTGGCGACATACCTATGTCTTTGTCTTCAGTAGCCTTCCTCCTGAAATGGGGTAAGATTAGTGGATCTGCAAGGGCCTCCCGACAGCTGCTCTCCACTGTCTCCAGTACCAGAGTTCTCTCCCTAGAGTCTACCCTAGAATCAGCCACAAGAGACTGGTATGGGTCGGATATGACTCAGTGGCAGAGTGCTTACCCAGCGTGCATGAGGCCGTGGGTTCAATCCCTGCACTAGAAAAATAAAAAGAGGATGGTCCTGATTCAGCCTTTCTGTCTGAGGGTTCCTTCTTCATCTCCCTTCACAGAGAGGCAGCAAAGGGCAAGCAGCTGGCGGTGAAACTGTTGAAGGTAACTCCTTGGAACATAAGGCCCACTCTGCCATTACAGCCCCTGGAAATGCTCCTCCTACTACAGACAGCAGCACCTGGACGACTCCAAGCCTGCTTCCTATGGAATAATTGATTTCAGGACCGGAGAGTTAGTGTAAGAAACCCACCATGGTGTGTGTATGCGTGCGTGCGTGTGTGCGTATTCCCATGTGTGACTGTGGATGCATTATGTGCCACAGCACACTTGTGGAAGTCAGAGGGCAGGCTCAGTATCGCCCCCCACTTGCCTTTCTCCATGTTTGAGAAAGGCTGTCTTGTCTACCATTGCGTGCACCAAGCTAGCTGTCCCATGAGCTTCTGAGGATTCTCCATTTCTTACCTCTACCACAATGGGGTTACTGACACATGTCTTTGGCTTTGCATGAGTTCTGGGGATCTGAACCAGGTCCTTATGTTTGCACAGCAAATGCTTACCCGCTAAGCAGTCTACCTAGCTCTTGGGTTGGTTTTTTTTTTTGGGGGGGGCAGGATTCAAGTAACCAGGCTGGCCTCTAACCCACTGTCTAATTAAGAATGAGTTGGTACTCAGTGCCAGGTAGTACAGGGAGGCAGAAGCAGAGAGACCTCTGTGAGTTTGAGGCCAGGCTGGTCTCCATGGTCTCCATGGAGTTCCAAGATCCCCAGGGCTACACAGAGAGACGCTGTCTCAAAGTAACAAAACAAAAAGAATGGATTTGGTCTCTGCCTCTCCTGCTTCCATGTATCTCCTTAGTGAGGGATTATAGGTTGTGCCACCACCGGGGCTCCTCTGGGGTTTGTCACATCTGTTTACACTGTCTACTTAGTTGCCCCCCCCCCCTCCTTTCTCCTTTCCGTCTCTTTCTCTCTGCTGCCCAGGCTGGCCTTTTTAGGCTCAAGCAAAGCTCCTGCCTCAGCGTACCAACTGCCTGGGATTAGTAGGTCCAGGCTACCATACTTGGTGACTTATAGTGTTTTCCTTGAATTAGTTGAGTTTTGCAAAACTTCATTTGACAAAGAAACTGCATCAGCCCTCGAAATGGAAAACCAGCATGACTTTCCAAAAAAACAGAAGGCAAAGATAAAAATAAATTCAAGGAAAACTGAACCAATTCTAGCTTAGATGTTCATGCCTGCAAGGAGGGCTCTCTCTTTGCCATACAGACAAGAGTCACCAGGGTAGGAAAGGTGGTATCACCGGGTGTGGTGGCCAATGCCTGTAACCCCGGCACCCAGGAAGCTGAATGTTCATGGCTGACTGCAGATACGTAGCAGGACTGTGTCACCACAGCACCCCTAAACTGAGCCCTCGTCCCCTAAACTTAATTGAAGAAACAATGTAAAAGAATTTAGGCTGGCGAGATGGCTCACTAGGTAAAACCGCTTGCTGTCAAGTCTGACCCCCTGACCGTCGAATCGAATCCCATTGCAGGAGAGAAGTGACTGTTGGGTGTCAACTCTGACCTCCACAAGTGTGTCCCCACACATCCCAAGTGAAAATGAAAAATAAACAAAAAGAAGAACTTCTGTTTTCTTTCTGTGGTGCCAGAGACAGAACCGAGGGTCTTCTGCAAGCTTTGTGCAGCGCTCGGCCACTGGCTCTCTGTGTCTCCAGAGGCCTGCTGTGAGAACGGTAAGAGTGAAAGTCTGAGCCTGATAGTGGTGGTGCACACCTTTAATCCCAGCACTTGGGAGGCAGAAGCAGGCAGATCTCTGTGAGTTTGAGGCCAGTCTGGTCTACTATGCGAGTTCCAGGACAGCCAAGACTGTTACACAGAGAAATCCTGTCTTGAAAAATTAGAAAAGAAAGAAAGAAAGAAAGGAAGGAAGGAAGGAAGGAAGGAAGAAAGAAAGAAAGAAAGGTCTAAAAATTCGGATGGGGCTCTGTTTGTTTTTTTTTTTTTTTAAATATTTTTATGGTTTATTTAACTTTATTTTATGTGCATTGGTGTGAAGGTGTCAGATCCCCTGCAACTGGATCTTCAGACAGTTGTGAGCTGCCATATGGGTGCTGGGAATTGAACCCTTGTCCTCTGTAAGAGCAGTCAGTGCTCTTAACAGCCGAGCCATCTCTCCAGCCCTGTTTGTTTGTTTTTTTATGGCCTTGAACTCACAGAGATTGACCAGCCTCTGCCTCCTGAGTGCTGGAATTAAAGATGTTTGCCACTTACCATACCCAGCCAGAGGCTCTGTTTTTATATGACTTGGTCTGTGAAGTTTAGCACCTCACTCCCCATACTACTCGGCCTGTGCCACACTTGGGGAGATGTGTTGGTCTAAGTCCTCTGGTCCCCACACTTAGAGAGATAGATGTGTTGGTGTAAGTCCTCTGGTCTCCACATTTGGGGAGATGTGTTTTTTGGTCTAAGTCCTCTGGTCCCCACAGTTGGGGAGATGTGTTGGTCTAAGTCCCCTGGTCTCCACACTTGGGGAGATAGATGTGTGGGTCTAAGTCCTCTGCTCTGGGGGGGGGGGCGCAGGGAGACATAATCCAGAGTCACTCAGCTCTGAAGTGCCTGACTACCCCAGGCAGCCACGATTTCTAGCAGCAGTAGGGACTGGCTGAAGAAAAGCTGCATTGACTGGGCAGCTGGCAGAGGAGAGCAAGCCTGTCCTGGAGCCAGCTCTGCCTCGCCAGTGCTGCTAGGAACTATAGGTCTCTGTTTGAATAGTTCTCTGGTTTTCTCTTAGGGCCTTCCTACCTCTTACAGGGTACTGTCCTGACTTCTGCCAGCACACCACGAGATGCTCCCTGAGCCACAAACTGGCTCTCGCTTGATTCTGTAGCCCACACCCTCCCAGTCCAGTTTAGCTATCTGCTGAACTTCACGGGCATGTAAGCCATAGCTGTCAAATGGACGGATTAATGAATGCCCGTAGCTCTGCTTGCTTTGGTCTATAAGCGTTTTTTTCCAACATCTTTAAGCCTCACTTAGATGCACCCCTTTTCTAAGAAGCCGCAACTGAAATTTCCCAGAAGAGTTCATCACCATCAGTGCAGCAAGACTTCTACCTAGCACTTGTTGTGTGCCAAGCACCTCGGGCAGTGCCAAGGAGGGCAGGATGAAGAGGACAAGACCCTTGCATTTCTCCCCCCTTGGCTCCTCAGTTCCCAGCTCCAGAGAGCTCTGTCTCCAGTGGCCTGTCCTGCAGAGCGGTTCTGTTTGCACCTGGAGCTCCTGGGTTGGCTCAAGCCCCTGGCTAAGGCCATCTCGGTATGTGGCTGATTGCATTGTCATCCAGCATGCATCCCTCCCCACCCCAGGCTGGAATTTAGAGAACAATGTGAGAAAGAACAGGAGCGGGGCAACGCTGGCCATTGCTCACTGAGCCTTGAGAATCTGTAGGGTGATGGGCACCTGGCCCACATCTTGGCCACCTTGAAGGTACACAGTGACCTGGGATCCAGCCCAGCCCTTTAGGCCACACAACTCCCTAGCGGCCCCTCAGCCCTATGGGAGCCTCTTCCGGAGGCTAGATTCCAGGAGCCTCCTCTTTCTAAGCCCTGCTTCTGCACACCCCCTCCCCCAGCACTGGCCTGGCTTCCTGGAATTTCTCCTCCTAATTGAAACCAAACACCGGGGCTCCTCAAGGGCTGTGCCCCAGAGGCCCCGTGGGTTTCTCTTTTCCTCCCTCCTCCCTTTCCCGAATGGGGCCTCTGGGGGTGCTGGGGGGTGGGGTGCTCAGTCCAGCATGGGAGGGGGTACTTTTGTGCTGAGGGATAAGGGGCTCTCCAGCTGCCGGGCTGTGAGTGAGCTAGACTTGCCTGTCTCACAGCTGGAGCAGTATTGAAGGACAGGCTGGTTGGTGGTCTAGGCAAAATGGTCTGGTCAACTGGGACTGTCCCAAGAAAACCCTGGACCAACCCTGTCTCAGGCAGGAGGTCTAGGGACTGGAGGATGGGTTGGTGAGGGTCAGCCTCTCCTAGACCTTCTGTGTGATTATGGGCAAGTTCCTCAAGGTACAAGGATGCAGCTATGTGGGACCTGTCCCAGATGATGTACAAACTACCACATGGTCTTAGTGATGAAGCTAGACATCCTTACCCTTTCCAGCAGATCTACAGGGCTGAAGGGAGGCAGCCTGAGAACATGTGGGGCAGTGGATAGCTGCCTTTTGGAAAGGTTACTGGGGGTCAATAAATGTTTGTTGAGTGAAGGAATTCTCTCCACTTTTAACAAACATTTACTGAAAGTCTCCCTTGCTTCAAGCTCTAGGGCAAATCCAAAGGAAGCAAGGCTCGAGATCCTGAAGATGGAGTCCGGGGAAGAAAGCCCATTGTCATGCCTGTCAAAAGCACTGCGATGACCCTGTAGGCCGATGCTGTGACCAGGAGGAAAAGAGGGCAGGGACCTTGCAGAGAACCTGACCAAATCAGGGCAGGGGGATGTAGTAGTTAAGACAGCTTTCCAGAGAAAATGACTGAGTAACCTTTTTGATGCCCTTTTTATTTTGTTTTTAGGCCTCATGAATTTGCATCTTATCCTCGCACAGGGGGCCATGCTAATCTTCTGTCTCATTCCAGTTTTAGTATATGTACTGCCGAAGAAGCGAGCACTTGATGCCCTTTCTTCGACCAGCGCTTATCAATGCAAGTCAACAGCAACTGAAACCAGGTGCTGCACAGGCCTTCAGCCATGCTGGGAAGCCTCCTGTGGACTGGTGTTGGCCAGCCTCGAGAAGACGCCTTCCCCTTGAGATAGCACTGCTTCCTGCCAGGCCACTGCCACATCCTTTCTCCTGCCATATTTCTATTTTAATGACTGCGATGGCCCCCTCCTTCTCTTCCTCCTCTTCAATAGCAGCCGCTGTCCTGGAACGCACCGTGAAACCCAGGCTGGTCTCCATTCATGACAATCCCTCTGCCTCTGTCTGTGACTCCCAAGTGCTGGAATTACAGGTATAGGCTGTAATGGATTAAGGAAAAATGCTGTGGATCCCCAAGTGGCTGCTTTGGCAGAAACTCTGCAGGTCTCCAAGCGGTGGCAGTGGGCAGTGGGTCCTGAGAGCAGCCAGTCCCAGGCAGGGACAGCTCATGAAACCACGAGGAGAGATAGACAGATGGTCATGCCATGAGACCAAGCTGCAGGTCTCTGAAGTTGGCCGGTCCTGGGCAGGGAATGGCAGGCAAGAGACAGAGACATGGATAGGCACACCATGCAGAATGAGGTTGGATATTTATTTAGTGGGTTATGGAGGGGAAAGGGAGAAGAACAGAGAGGCGAGGCGGGGGGAGATGGAAGCTGTCTCTTCAAGAGGGAAACTGAAAAGGAAAAGACTCAGGCTGCAGGCAGGAAGGAAGATATGCCTGTCTCAGCAGACTGGGGAGGGGTAGGCGGAGCTTGTCTCTTTTTTTTTTTTTTAAAGATTTATTTATTTATTATGTATACAGTGTTCTGTCTGTCTGTATGCTTGCTGGCCAGAAGGGGCACCAGATCTCATTACAGATGGTTGTGAGCCACCATGTGGTTGCTGGGAATTGAACTCAGGACCTCTGGAAGAGCAGGCAGTGCTCTTAACCTCTGAGCCATCTCTCCAGCCCAGAGCTTGTCTCTTAAAGGGACAGGACAGATCATTACATAGCCTATCACTTCTGTAATTGTTTTTTGTTTGTTTTTTTTTTTTTTTTTGAGACAGGGTTTCTCTTTAGCTTTGGAGCCTGTCCTGGAACATACTCTGAAGATCAGGCTGGCTGTAAACTCATAGAGACCCATTCGCCTTTGCCTTCCAAGTGCCAGGATTAAAGATGTGCACCACCACCACCCCATTCTTCCGTTTTCAAAAAAGAGGTGCTTATTTTATGGGTACTGGTATTTTTGCCTGCATATCTGTGCACCACATGTGTGCAATGCCTATGAGGGCATCAGAGGGCATTGGAGCGTCTGGAATTAGGGTTACAGACAACTAGCTGCCATGCAGGTGCTGGGATTTGAATTCTGGTCCTATGGAAGAGCAGTCACTGCTCTTAACCTCCGAACTATCTCTCTGGTACTCCAATTGCCTGCAACTTTTTGTTTACATGTCTTTGTTCTTCACCGTGCTGTCCCAAAGATACATACATAGTACTAGCCAAAAAGGTAAGTCAGATCTCATTTTATTCTATAGTAACTATATTGTATTAATTCAATTTTGGATTATGCATGCATTTGTCATTAATTAAATCTATCCTTAGGCGGTTTGATACATATATATGTTCTCATCCCTCACACTCTTTTATCTTCCTTCTACTCCATCATATTCCCCTCTTAACCCACAGGTCTTCTCCTCACATTCCCACCTTTTGATCTTGTGACCCACTGATATTAATCAGGTCTGTCTGTGTGTCACCAGTTTGAAACCATCCATTGGAGCCTGTTGGGCTTAATGTTTGGGACGTAAGTGAAGGCATTGACTATCATCCCATCCCATGAATCCATCAATTGCCCATAGTTCAGAAAGGAGAGGGCGGGATCTCCATGAGACCCTCCTACAACATGACTGACTGTTGACAGGTACAGTGTAAAATGTTGTTGTTGTTGAGACAGGGTTTCCTGTAGCCAAGGTTGGCTCTGAACTCCTGAAACTCTTGCCGAGTGATGGGTTTATAGGCATACATCATGCTCAGCCGCATTTTACTTATTAGCTTGTGTGTGTATTACTGATGATTTAACTCCACCTCTGATCAACATCTCTATGCCCCTAACCCTCCTTTGACTTTTTATTTTCAGTGAGATAGGTCTTTCTAAGTTGACTTGACTAGGCCTTGAACCCTAGAAGCTTGAACTGCCATCCCCTGAGAAACTGGGATCACAGGCTTGTGACATTCTCTGCTTGGCGTAGTTTTTGTTGTTCTTGAAAAGATTTCTGTCCTGGAAATCTTTTTGTTTGTTTTGTTTGTTAAGACAGGGTTTCTTTGTAAAGCCCGGGCTATCCGGGAACTCTCTCTGTAGACTAAGCTGGCCTTGAGAGATGTCCCTGACTCTGCTTCCTGAGTGATGGACTTAAAGGCATAAGCCACCAGTACCCAGCTTGTCAGGAGCCATTTCCCCTCTAACAATCATTACAGGAACCATCACCCTGGGGAGTCTGCAGAATGCCCCTCACCCAATTAGCAGCAATCTCTTAGCGGAACCCGCCTCACATTCCAGCTATCCAGGGAACCAGGTGTGGCCACTTGACTTCCTAGCCTACCTCCTGGCCTACGTGACCTGGAACACGCGCAAGAATCCAGTTACCCTGCCCCCCATTCCTTACCATATATAAACTGTAACCCGTCCCTAATAAACGGAGGCTTTGACAAATCTGCTTGGCCTCCTTCTTCTGTCTTAGCTCATTCCCTTCCAGGTAGCGCCCCTCCGAGACCCTGGAGTAACTTGATTGCAGGGTGGGTTACAAACCCCTAGACTGAGTAGCCCACCCGAACGCAATCGACACCAGCTTGTCTGGAAATCTTGATCATCCTGCCTCATCATCCCAAGTACTAGAGATTGCAGGTATATGTTACCATGCCTGTCATAGCAACTACATTTTTAAAAAGAGAAAAAAGTTAAATTTCTTTTAACAATTTTATAAATTAAACCCTATACATCTAACATATTATGTACTTAGTATGAAGAGAAAACAAGCTCCTTTATTTTGACTTGGGGTGTTAAGCCTTCACTGTTAGCATGAGTCTATTCTGATTGGCTGCACTTCATCAGCACTTACTGTAGATGGAAGTTTCTGTCCTGCCTGGTCCTGCAACTAGCTGTTCAATCCCACAGAAACACAGAGGGGCTTATATTAATTATAAACTGCTTGGCCTATTCGCCCAGGCTTATTATTAACTAACTCTTACAACTTAAATTAACCCCTAATTCTTATCTATAATTAGCCACGTGGCTGGTACCTTTTCTCAGTGCAGCATTCTCATCTTGCTTCCTCTGTGTCTGGGTAGTGACTGCAGACTGAGCCTTTCCTCTTGCCTGAATTCTCCTAGTCTGGTCGCCCTGCCTATAGTTCCTACCTGGCTACTGGTTTTATTAAACCAGTGTGAGTGGCAAATCTCTACAGGGTACAAGAGCATTGTCCCACAGTCACTTACAGTGAACACTCACCATGCTGGGGTGGTGCAGCATTAGATGGGGGTTCCATAGTCAGTATAAGCTATAGAGGAGGAAGAAGGGGTGGGGGTCACCACATTTTTTAAGATAGTAATATGGCAGGAGAAAGGAGGTGGCTTGCGGTCCCAATTGCAGGAAATGGATTGTTGTCCCCTAATTAATGTGTTTCTTTGTGCCTCTGGGTCTTTGTATATGTTGTGTCTACCTACCACTAAAGGAAAAGATGAAGAAGATAAAGAGCCTACACTTGAGGATCTCCAGTTCATGGCAACCCCTTTGTCTCTGTCTGCTGTAGTTGGTGTGGAAGTATGGAGTGGTGAGTAGTGCACAGTTCCCGTGTGTGAACATTTATGCATATGTGTGTATGTGTGCATATGTGGGGGGGTCAGGGTCCAAATGCCTGTGTAAGCGCTAAGGAATTCAGACTCAAGTTATGTGCACAGCTTGGGTCATGGCTTATTAAAAGCATCGCTGTGTTCATAGGAAAGCTTGAGAAGAGACCCTGTAGGCTTAGGGAGACGAACTTAGGAGGGCTCAGGTAGGCAGCCACACCAGGTGCCAAGAGGCTGCTGTAACTTAACAGGTGACGGGATAAGGCTGTACAGTCGAGGCGGGAACTGACTGGGAAGACAGCATAAGGGCAGGATTTCAGGACCTGGACTAGCTGCAGGTTGAACGGGAAATGAATTACCCAAGCTTCTAGCTTGGAGTGCCAATTTTTGGAGCCAGGACACGCGAACAAAGGGAGATGAGCAGGTCTATTGAGAACACCAGGAGTTCAATTTCAGAACATGATGGAATTATTTTCGGGACTTCTCGGTAGACAGAACAGTTAGGATCTAGTGTGGTAATGAGCTCCCCGTCACACACAACAGCTAGGATCTAGTGTGGTAATGAGCTCCCCGTCACAGCGTTCCAACCTGGTGGACACACAAGAGCAGGGGATGAAGAAGAGGGTCTACGTGAATCTCATGCAAGCTGGGCCATCTGATCTCTCAGAGCAGTTTGTGATATGTGTTTTTCTGTCTGTATTAATGAGAAACAGTGTTTATCAGCTCTCGAGTGTGCTTCATTTAGGAACCTTTGTGGTTTAGAGGTGGCTTGCTTTTTCGAGTGTTGGCCCACAACTGGAAGACAGGCGTGATGGCTGTATGCAACAGAGGCACCACCTCAACAGACCACAGGGAAAGCAGCTCACAGTCATGGGTACTTAGAATCCCAGAACAGGGAGGATCAGTGGTCTCCACCCAGTTTCCCCCACCCAGATGGTTTGTGGGCAGATGGAGGGCCTTGCCCAGGGTCACTCATTAGGGCATGACTCCTCTGACAGGTGAGAGCATGTCAGATTCCTGAACTGTCTCCTCAAACTCTGAGAGCCTCTAGCGTGTGCAGCCCTTGCCTCTCCCTGCTGAGGAGATGCTCTAGAACACACGTGGAGAGGGATCCCGGTTCTTTTTAATTAGAAGGATACAAAGAGAGAAGGCAGACGGCCACCCCCACTCGCACACGGAGGGGAGACTAAGTGCTCCCCAAATTACACAGCAGATGCCAGGGCTTCGCCAACAAGACCCAGCTTGATCGCTTTGCGGTAACCACAGCCAGTGCAATTTTATTCTTATGTTTGAACTCTGCAGTGATATACAGGCATCTCACAGGCAAGAGAAATGGCATCTACAACTTCACACGCACACAAATGTGTATGCATGTGCACATATGAGCTCGGGCCACACCAGTTCGGTTCAGTTAACCCCTTTGTCAGAAAGCTTGGTCTGTGCTAGGCTGGCTTAGCAGACTGTCCCCTCTGTGAGGCAGGCAGGAGTGCCAGCTCAGCCTCACTGCTGTGTGTAAGAAACAAACCCATGGCACCCTTCTGCAGAAGGAACTTTGCCAAGTGTTGTCATGTTGCTGAGGCCCTAGATCCATTCCTAACATGTGGGACCCCTGGTGGGCCCATACCTCCCCCCAATCCTCACTGGATAAATGAGTGCATGAGTAGTTTTATGTGTCTACCATTTGTTTGTTTGTTTGTTTATTATGATTTCCAGGGATAGGGGTCTAAGATGGCTCAGCAGCCAAAGGTCCTTGCTGCCAAAAGACTGACAGCTCTACCTGGGATACAGGTGGTAGAAGGAGAAAACCATCTCTTGAAACTTGTCCTCTGACCTACATCACATAAACAAACACATGAGTGGAATTAAAATAATTCAGGGTCTTAGGGGTCAGTGGTAGAGGGCTTGTCTATCATGGGAGCCCTTCCCTCTGGATGCCCAGCCCTGGAAGAAGAAGAAGAAAATAGAAGATCAGTTTAAGGTGGAGGTCTAGTTTTCTTTGTTTGTTGTTTGTCCATCCGTCCCCCTCCCTAGACAGAGTTTCTCTATGTAACAGTTCTGGTTGTCCTGGAACTCACTTTGTAGACCATGTTGGCCTCCAATTCACAGAGATCCACCCGCCACTGCCTCCCCAGTGCTGGGCTTAAAGACGTGCACCACCACTGACTGGCTGGTGGAGGTCTAGGGTCCCAATCTCTTCTTTGTATCCTTAGGTCCTTCTTTTCAAAAGGATGGTAGCACACCCCTTTAATCCTTGCACTAGGGAGGCAGAAGCAGGCAGAGCCAGCCTGGTCTACAGAGCAAGTTCCAGGACAGCCAGGGCTTTGAAAGCAAAAATAAATAAATAAATAAAAATAAATAAAATTCAGAACTCAGCCAAGTGGTGGTGGCACATGCCTCAATCCTAACACTCTGAGAGGCAGGGGCAGGCAGAGATCTGTGAGTTCAAGGCCAGCCTGGTCTGTAGAGTGAGTTCCAAGACAGCAGGGACTACACAGAGAAACACTTCTCAACCCTCCCCACCTCCCATCCCCCACCCCCTCCAACACAGGCACATCCTGCCACCAAAGACTCACCTAGAATGTTTGGAGCAGAAGCTTACCTCTGGCCCCAGCCACTAGGCAATCTCAGAGGTAGAGACAGTCCTTTGTGTTCACGTCTCCCTGGCCATACTGACTCTGCTCTGTACTCTTCTGTCTGGTCTCAGCCCTGCTGTCACTTCCCGGGTCAGACAACTTCAACTTCAGGGACCCCCACCCCCCACCCCATTGTCCAGGGAGTAGATCCAGTTCCTCTACCTCTCCTGCTTGGTACCTAAGACTTAGCTAGCTCTGGCCCCTTCTCAACAGCCTGTCGTCACGATCCATGCATTCAGTGTGCAAAGTTTGTCCAGTCCTTATTTTGTGCCCACGGCAGGAACATGGATGCTGAAGAGTTCAGGAGCTAAGTGTGTTTTGAGAGCCTCAGGGTCAGGGGCTCTGAGGAGGGGCACGAAATGAGACAGGGACTGGGCTCCCGCCAACTCCCTTCTTGCTGGTTTCCTGTTTACTGCAACAGCTGCCCATCCCGCCTGCCTAGCCGCACACAGATGCCCCAGAGAACGTCGGTGAATATTCAGACTTGCAGCTCAATTACAGAAAGAGAAGCAGGCAACTTGAAATCTGCCTTCAGCTGCCCTGAAAACCTGCAAGGAAGCCCCTCTAATCCCTTCATGTCACGCACACTCCCCAACTTCTGCCTCTCTCTTCCCCTCCCCTTCGGGGACATATGGCCCCTTGAAGTTTTTGTTTGCTTGCAGGGGGGGAAACACCCAGGCACAGTGTGTAGTGTTTCTCTTGTATTATTATTATTATTAAGCATCAAGAGACATAGCAATCTGCGTGCAGATACCGTACGTGCATAATTAATAAAAATCTCATTATTTATTTATAAAAAGACGCACGGGGAACTGGAGAATTAGGGCTATCCCCATTATCTGTGGAGAGAGGGGGAGAGACAGATTTTGAACGCTGGATCCTTCCAGAGAAGCAAACCTCTATGCATGCAATGAATAAAAAAGCATGTGCTCCCGGGGAAGTGGTGTTCTGTGCCCAGGAGCCATCAGAAAGCAAAAGCCTGGTCAGGAGCTTAAAAAAGAAAAGGGACTGATGAGAATCTAAGGCTCGCAGCGCCGAGTATAGCATGTTTGGGGGTGGGGGGCGCAGGCAGGATGGGAACTTGAAGTGCTGCTGGCTTGGTAGCTAGTCCTGGTCTTCCCAAGGAGTATGACCTGGCCACAGACTCCAGACTCCTTGGGGGGTGATGGTGGGAGAGGCAGTCACTTCACTAGTTACCACATAAAAATCCAGGTACCAGGTGAGGGGAGCCCCTGGTTGTCTATTACTAGGTAGATAATTTTAATTTGATGGTGCTGGTGGGTTCTCCACGGCAGCTTTGCCCTTGGCCTCCTGCTTCTCTGATGCCTGGGCAAGACCTTCAACATCAATAACCCAACTTATTACATAACAACCCCTGAGATCAGGGAGGCCGGCACCAGGTCCTCCCAGGCTTGCTGAGTCCGGGGTGGACCTTCTCTCTCTCCTTTCTCTCTCTCTCTCTCTTCTTTTTTCTTCTTGAGACATGCTTTAAAATAGAAAACAGGCTTGTGCAGGAACCAACCCCACAGAAAGGGGTGACTGGCAGGGATTTTTCCCCCCACCTCCTTCGAGTGCAAGCAACTCGTGCAGTGGAACGCTCAGTTGGGCCCGGGTGGTGGGCTCCGGGAGGGGTGCGGGGAGCGCTGGGGGTGTCGGCCTGGGCAGCAGCCCCCGCAGTGTTACCCGGGCGCGTGCAGGGAAACGTCTCAGCAATTCCAGCGCCCGAGCGGAGCGCGAGGGGGGGGGGGGGCTGGCGCGGGGCACCTTGAAACCGCCGGCGGCCGCGCGCTGATTGGCCGAGCCGCCGCCTCGGCGTTCCAGCCAGGCGCCCCTCCCCCCGCGCCGTCCACCCCGGAAGGAATTTCCTCCTCTGGCGGCCGCTATTGTTGTCCGTCTTCGCTGTTTGGGTCGGATCGCGTAACCATAGTATCCAAACTGTGTCCGTGCGGGGCCCCAGCCGGGTACCCCCGTGCCCCCCAGACCACCCCCCACTTTTTTCTTTTTGCAGTCTAGTTATCATGACTTCATCGGACTCGGGGGAGCAGGGGAGGGGGATGGGACGGGGGGCGGGGAGCTGGCCCGCTCCTGACGGCCCTTACTTCGAGATGGTTTCAATTAGAATTTTTAAAAAGTCTGCTTTGTGGGTTCGGGGCTTTTACATCCCCCCGCCTCCCATTAAACCGTTGGCCGGAACTCGAATGGGGCTTTCCCTCCGTTTCCAACCCCCCAGAAGCATCGCTCCAGCCTGACTTCACGGCTCAGAGTCGGGCGACGGGGGCATTCGCAGCGGGAGTCGTTCCCGAAACGCACCCCGAATGAAGGCTGCGTCCGGGACCCGAGCCTGGCCAGCTGTACATATGCGAGCCCAGCTTTGGGGCCAGATCCCGTCGGACACAGCAGCCCCAGGGCACGTCCTCCTGGGGTTGGCTCCCTGGCGATGCTCTGGGAGAGGAGGTGCGGGATGGATGCTTGTAGAAGGCTAGCAGGGATGGCAGAGGATAAAGGGGCGACGGGGAAGCAGTTGACAGGTTCTTGGGTAGAACAAGCCCCCTGGCCTCTCTTATTTTCCCCCTCTGAGCACAGGCGAATAGGTTGGTGCGTATATTCTGAACCCAGTATTTTGCCCCAATCTTTGAAGTAAAAAAAAAAAAAGGCAAAACCCAGCCTTTTCCCGCGAAGTGCCTTGTGCAGGGAGGGGTGGGAACCAGCAGCAAGTCCGCACCGAGCGGGCTGCGCAGCGCGGGAGCCCCGGGGCTGGGCCGGCGGCGGGGGGCGGCGTGTGCCGGGGGCATCTAGTATTCCCAGAACCTTAGCGTCCTCCCGGCGCTCGCCAGGGCGGGGGAAGTGGCGGCGGGCCGCCAAGTTCGGGGCAACACTGCCCCCTAGAGGCAGCGAGGGTGTGCAGGAGGGGCGGAGAGGATGTGGAGGGTAGGGATCTGGTACCTGGGACCAGGGCATCTGCTGGAGAGTGTTAGAGGCCTAACAAGCACGGCTGGACTGCCTAGACCCTTGGCAGGCTGGTGACAAGCTGGAGGACGACCTCCAAGGAACAGTTCTAAAGGCTGAAGGATGGGGTAGGAGGGTTTATATTTCTGCTCTAGAGTTTGAAACTTGGGTGCATCCTACAGCTTTTCCCTAGTCAAGTCTTTTGGTCCTGTAGTTACTGAAACTAACCCTCTAGAGAGGGGATCCTTCGCTCATGGCTTGTTTGAGCCAGCTGTTCTGTTTTCACTCAGGTCCGGTGTCTTTGGGGCCATCCTTGAGGATGGCTTCTCCTTAGAGGCACCAACTCTCAAGTCAGCCTCTCTCTCGCGCCTCTTATTTTTCTCAAGACGGGGTTTCTTCTCTGTGTTGCCCTGGCTGTAGAGGAGGCTGATTTCGAACTCACAGAGAAGCACCTGCCTCTGCTTCCCTGAGTGCTGGGATTAACGGTGAGTGCCACCCACCACTGGGCTCTCTAATTCTCATTTTACAAGTGAGAACTCAGGAGAATTTTCACTTGTTCAGCCAGCGGAGAACTAATGTCCCTGTTTTGTGGTTTCTCTCTGTATCATACAGGCAGGAACATAAGTTTGGGGAGCAGGCCAGTTCTGCAACAGACCTGAGCTACACCCAGCCAGACCAGGGTGGAAGTGACTGCTCCCGGATGGGAGAAAGGACGGACAGAAAGGTGTGCATTTGCAAAACCCTGGGTTCTAGGTCTCAGTGTCCAGATCTGCAAAACGGAAGGGGGGGGTATGGAGTTATAAAAAAGGCATCTCCTCTTCTTCCTACACCCCTAGGTGACACAGCTAGGCTCCTCCTTTTTTGTCTGCCACACCCTCTCTTATACTCTTGCTCCTCGGTTGGTGTTGGGGTCCCCCCCCCCACTGGCTTCCTCTCTTCCGCCCTCCCTTCTTCCCTGCAGGGCTCCCGCCCCGCCCCTCCCTTTTCCTCCCCTGGCTGGCGCAGAGCTAACTGCGGGAGGGAGCAGTGGGCTCACAGCCAGCAGAGCGTCAAGTCAGCCCCTGGGGAAGGGAGGGGGGCTGTGCACTCGCTGCTGCCGAGGCTGCTGTCAAGAGGCTGCAGCTCGTGCTAACGTGGCCAGGGTCCCTGAGGGTTATTTGTGTCCAAGGTAACTGGTGTCCGAAATGCCTGCTGCCGCCTCCCTCTTTTCCTGGAGACTGGGGAGCTGCCTGCTCTCCTGCTTTCCTTTCTCCCCTTAAAGTATCTCCAAATTTCTCTTCTCTCCATCCTCTCAGCCACCTGCCCCTGCTGGTCTCCTTGGGGCTCTGAACTGGTTTCTTAGAGCCTTCCTGTACACCCTGCCAAGCCTCAACATCACCCCCCATCTCCAGCTTCTTCTTGGGTTCCTTCCTCTCTGACACATGCGTGATATTCTCGAGACTGTCCTGTTGGCTTGGCTCTGGTGGAATCCCAGACCTTGGTGATACCTAAGAGCACTTCCAAGCGTTCCCTGCCGAGTCACAGGTAGCTGAAAGGGATAGCCAGCGTGGTGACCCCATAACAATTGATAGAATGATTATTTCTATCAATTATTTTATTATATTATTGGCAGTATCTCATTATATAGCCCTGACTGGTTTAGAACTTGCTATAGAGATCAGTCTGGTCTTGAACTCAGATCTGTGTGTTTGTGCCTACCAGGTGCTGGGCTTAAAGTTGTGGATCAGTATACCAGGCAGATTTTTTTTCCCCGGATTTGGTTTTTTGAGACAGGGCTTCTCTGTGTAACAGCCCTGGCTGTCCTGGAACTCACTTTGTAGACCAGGCTGGGGAACTTGAACTCAGAGATCCACCTGCCTCTGCCTCCCAAGTGCTGGGATAAAGGCGTCCACTACACCTAGTGTCAGAATAGGTTCTTAAGGACCCTCAGAACCCTCGCCTAGGCTGAGTCAGGAAATGCTTCCTGAAGGATGTGATGTGCTGAATTTTGAGGGGAAAAGCCCCATACAGTGAAGTAAAAGGATGGTGTGGAAATAAGGCTGGCTGAAGTGTAAGGAGATGAAGAGAGAGAGAGAGAGAGAGAGACAGAGACAGAGACAGAGACAGAGAGAGAGTGTGTATAAGGTGGACCATGGAGTGGATCACAGATAATTGGTTGAGGATCTTCCCCCTCCCCTTTTTGCAGTGAGATTCTTTTCTCCCCTAGGAGCTCTGACTGTGTAGGAGCTTACTAGGTAGATCAGGCTGGCCTCAAACTTAGGGTGATTCCCCTGCCTCTGCCTCCTTGGGATGACAGGTGTGCATCACAGGGTCTAGCCTGAAGGTCTTTTGGCTTCAGAGGGAAAAGCTGACTATGCAAGGGTGTAGCATCGGCAGCCTGGGCTCGTGAGAGTCCAGACCTTATAGCTCAGCCAAGGAGGTCCACGCCTTCTGCTATCACAGTGTGACATGGTTTTCCGCAAATGTGTTGAGAGCCATCCACAGCTGTTCTGAGATGCATGAAGTTCTGGGCTGTAGGTTGAGCACACCTGCTAAGTCCTGGGAACTAGAGGATCATGATTCCATGCTTTTCACATCTGAAGTCTCGAAACTCTACCTATAGGTTCAGATTCTCTCTCTCTCTCTACACACACACACACACACACACACACACACACACACACACACACACACACACAGGTTCTACTGATATGATCAAATCATAGCCAGCTGTGGGCTTTCAAAGCCAGAGGCTTACAATTCTGGGTCCTGAAAACTAGATGCTTATTGCCCCAAGCTTTCAAAGCTAGAGACCGTAACTG